GGGTTTAGGGTTTAGGGTTTAGGGTTTGGGTCTTCGGCTCGGGGCTCAAAAGCTGGGTTCAAGGCTTTGCCACGAGCTGCACAGGGGGCGAAAGATTATCGGGTGCTTAAGGGGGGGAGGTTCAAGGGGGGTAGGTACCTAGGGAACCTTTAAGGGAAGCTTCGGAATCCTTAGGGAGTAGGGGGCGGGGGGGTATCAGCGAACCTTGTGTTGCATACCCCCCTTGAACCCCCTGCCTTAAGAACCCTATAAACAGATATCGCAGAGAGCTGTGAACGCAACCCGAAAGCTGAGGGACACGCCTCTCGTCGTCCACCATAGGGGTCGGAATAATTGCCAATGGCACATTCTTATGGTCCCTTTATAAGTATACTAGAATAAACCCCCACCCCCACCCCCCAAAAAAAAAAAAAAGAAGAAAGAAGAACCGTATTCTAATTATTCAGGCCCCTATATCACCCACCGACAGGCGTTTTACAGCGGTATCAGACCTTTCTTGTTTGATGCCGAGGATGCGAGGAAAGAATGAAGTCTCCAGTCTCGCGGGGGCGTGGTTCTAGGGTCGCGCGTTGCGACTGGGGCCCCTAAGAGTTAGGCTTTAGGGTTTAGGCTTTAGGCTCTAGGCTCTAGGCTCTAGGCTCTAGGCTCTAGGCTCTACTTCGGCTTTAGGCTTTAGGCTCTAGGCTTTAGGCTTTAGGCTCTAGGAGCCCAAAAGCCTCAACCCCATCTTTGAGAGCTCTGAAACATACGGATGTAGGGGCCTGCCCTTCATTCCCAGCATCTTTGAAGGTAGACCAAGGTGTAGGGGGTTTAGGGTTTAGGGTTTAGGGTTTAGGGTTTAGGGTTTAGGGGCTCTCCAGGTTCTTGGGGATAGACCCAAAGATCCAAGGCCTGAGCCCTCGGCCCCAAACCTCAAATCCCAAACCCGAAGCGCGAAACCCTAGACACGGTTTAGGGTCTACGGTTTAGGGTTTAGGGTTTAGGGTTTAGGGTTTAGGGTTTAGGGTTTAGGGTTTAGGGTTTAGGGTTTAGGGTTTAGGGTTACTTTTGGCGGGTTTGCTTTGAAACTTCCCAGCTTAGGCCCACGCAGGGAGTGTGGCCTTTGGTTTAACACAAACCTTGAGCCACGTTCCACCCACTTCTCTTCCTAAGGAAGACGACAGCGAGGCGCGTACTGTGGGTGCAGAGCTGGGTTTCTAAACCCCAAACCCTAAACCCTAAACCCTGAACCCTAAAACTTAACTTCCGAAAATTAAGAGACTGGCGTAAGGAGCTGAATGTAAATCGAGTCTGCGGCGACCCTCAACCCTAAACCCAACACCCCTGAACCAGTCTATTGGGCCAGTTGGATTACTACTGTTTGGATAAGAAGCACAAAACAAAAATATGCTTATAATCAGGCAACATAGGAGTTGTCATCTTTCATCTTTGGGTTTAGGGTTTAGGGTTTAGGGTTTAGGGTTTAGGGTTTAGGGTTTAGGGTTTAGGGTTTAGGGTTTAGGGTTTAGGGTTTAGGGTTTAGGGTTTAGGGTTTAGGGTTTAGGGGTGGGTTCTTAAGCAAAGAGAAGATTAAGGTCCCCCCGTCGCAGCGTTTTTGGCATCCCAAGGCTTGAAGGAGTCTTGATCCCCTCGAGCCTAAACCTTAAACCAAAAACCCCAAACCCCAAGCCCACATCCCTAAACCCTAAACCCCAAACCCTAAACCCCAAACCCTAATCCCTGAACCCTAAACCCCAAACCCTAAACCCTAAACTCCAAACCCTAATCCCTAAACCCTGAACCTTGGGGGTTGAAAAGGGTGCTTGAGAGTGCCGAAGTCCCGAAACCAAGACTCTGCCAGCTTTACCCCTTTGAGACCAGCTAGGATCCCCAGGCCCAAAAATTTTGGGGGGTTTGGGGGGTTTGGGGGTTTTGCGGGTTTTGCGGGTTTTGGAGGTTTTGGGGGTTTGGGGGTTTGGGGGTTGAGCTTTGGAGTGATTCTCGGCACCCAAAACGGGACCATAACTTTGAGAAATGGTCAAAATGCAATTGTACACCAACATATACTCCAGTTTTCAATCTTGGCGAAACCCTAAACCCTAAACCCTAGACCCTCTACCCTCTAAACCCTAAACCGACGGCGGCACTGAACGCCCAAGCGCACCATGCCTAGGCGGTACTTGGTAGCCCAGTCATGCCCTTTTGCTGTTTTGTTGGTTCTAGGTTGGGGTTTAGAGTTTAGGGTTAGGGTTTAGGGTTTAGGGTTTAGGGTTTAGGGTTTAGGGTTTAGGGTTTAGGGTTTAGGGTTTACGGTTTAGGGTTTAGGGTTTAGGGTTTAGGGTTTAGGGTTTAGGGTTTAGGGTTGAGGGAAGTAACCAACCCCAAAAAGGGGTACCCTTATGAGAACATGGGTGCTTGGCTACCAAGGATAACTGATTCGAAGCCCTAAACCTAAAACCCAAACCCTAAACAAGACCCCAAGAAGTTTCGTGTGTCTGTGTGTGCTCTGACAGAAACAGGAACTGAGTCCTCTTACTCCATCCCCCAAACAGCATCCACAAGTCCTAAGCTGTTTGTCTTTTGACTTAGTGTAAGTTCCTTCTCAAGAGCTAAACCCTAAACCCTAAACCCCATCGACCCTAAAAACCGAAAGCTAAAGCCCTCGAGCCTAAACCCTAAACCCTAAACCCTAAACCCTAAACCCTAAACCCTAAACCCTAAACCCTAAACCCCTCGAGTCGAAGCCCTAAAGGACCTGAGCCCAGCCAGGATTGGCATCTGCCGGAGGGGGATCATTTCTTCAGGCGGGGAATCGCATCTTCAGGGAGCAAGGGCCCTTGAAGTCCGAAGCCCGCAAAGTTTGGGGTTTAGGGCTTAGGGCTATTTTACTGTAGGGTTTTGGGTTTAGAGTTTAGGGGTTTAGGGTTTAGGGTTTCGGGTTTAGGGTTTAGGATTTAGGGTTTAGGGTTGAACCCTCAGCCCTACACCTTTATGGGTTCAGACCTCGGCCCTGCACCCTAAACCCTATTTGCGCACAAGTCGTCAGGGTCTGTTTAGGTTGACTAGTTTCGCGCCTGCCTGAGCAGCGCCGGATCGGATGAGCTTGATAGCGTCTTCTGAACTACTTGGATGCGTGACCCTAAACCCTAAACCCTAAACCCTAGTTGGAGAATCTGTGACTCCGAGAGGAGTTGCGCCGAACCGTCGGGGGCAGTAGTCACCACCTAGGGAAGCCCCAAACCTTAAACCCTAAACCCCAAACCTGAAACCATGAACCCTAAACTTACCCTAACCCCTAGTAGAAGGTCTGAAATTGCCCCATGAGCCTGGAGAACCTATAGGGGAGGGGGGGGAGGGGGGTGGGGTGGGGGTAGTTCATGGTTCAGGGTTCCTGGTTTAGGGCGTGCCAAACGGGAGCGCGCTTTGGGAGCGCACGGTAGTCTGCAGACCTACCCACCCCAAGACCGCCCACTTACAACTCTCAAGGAGTTAAGACCTTGTGTTTTTTTACAAAGCATCACATGAGTCAGCACTCACGCCCTTTTGGGGACCTCCACAAGGTGCATGGAGCAGGCACAAAGCTGCAGCAGACGGAAAGGCGAGGCAGGGTCAGCGAAGACAGCTTGGAAGGGGCTAATTAAAGCCATGGAGGCAGGGCCAGGGAAGACAGGCAGTGAACAGCTTGGGTTGGCGCGACAGCTTGGGTTGGGCAGAGCGCCGCGGAAACAGGGCAGTCGTGATAAAGAGGGTTTAGGGTTTCGGGTTTAGGGTTTAGGGTTTAGGGGGTCGTAGGGGAGCCCATGAACCTCAGGCAACAACACCACCCATAACCTGCTCCTTCTCGGTTTAAGGGTTTAGGGTTTAGGGTTATCGCCTGCTTCCAACATACTTTCCGGTTGACCCCTTTCCCTCAACCTTAAACCCTAAGCCCTGAACCTGAAGAGCTTGGATGCCGGGGTTTCACGTCTGACTTTTACAGAGAACGGGCTCCTACCCCCTGTTTAGGGTTTAGGGTTTAGGGTTTATTCAGGTTTAGGGTTTAGGGTTTAGGGTTTAGGGTTTAGGGTTTAGGGTTTAGGGTTTAGGGTTTAGGGTTTAGGGTTTAGGGTTTAAGCGAGTTCCTCCTGAGACCTGCACCCTGCACCCTAAACCCTAAACCCGAAACCCTAAACCCTCTCCCTCATAAACTCTACAGCCCTCAAATAGGCTCTGGCGTAGGGAACAACCCTGAACCCTAAACCCTGGAAATCTCAACCAGGAAAGGATAAATTCCTAAGCCCTTAAAGCCGTAAGCCCCTAAACAACCTTACAACCATGCGGGGTTTCCGAACATAGGGGATCTTTTTTGGGGTCCCGTTTGCAGGATTCCATGCTACTTAGGGGTAGAAAAGGGATACCCCTATTTGTAGATCCAACCCCCCAAAACCTTCCAAGCCATCCCGTGGCCCCCAGAAAAGCCCCTTAAACCACCTCGGTATGCTCAAACTTCAACAATCCCTGTAAACCCCTAAGCCTTAAACCCCAGACTGTGAACCTGAACCCGCAAAGCGCTCAAAATAGTGGGGCTTGAAGGCTTTTGAAGTTGGGCAACGAAACCAAAACCCCTAAACCTCTAAGCCGTAACACCCCCTCCCCCAAAAATAGGGAAAACAAGGATTCAGGGGCTAGGGCTCAGGATCTGGGGTTCTGGGTTCCTTATTCGTTTTTTCTTGCTTCGCTTCCTTCTTCGTTCCCCGTTTCTCGTCGTCTGCTTCGTTTTTCTTTTCTCTTCATTTTTTCATGTCGCGCCTCATTCGTTATTTTTTCTGGGGCTTCGTGTTCCACCTCTTTCGTTTTGATTTTGTTAAGTGCTTTAGGGGTCGTTTTTCGTTTTGTGGGTGCTTGTGATGGTTTTTTCTCTAGCCTCATGTCCGGTACAAAGCAGTCAGCATGTGTTGAAGCATCAGAAGCATTCTTGATTTCTGAAGCCTTTCGCTTCATCAAAGCGTCATTTCCTGACTTCTTCACAGTCGCCATAAGCCATGTCTTCAAAGGGTGGATATGATGTTGATCGTGAGATGGCTGAAGCTCTTCAAGCCAAAGAACTTGAGGAGGACACCTCAAGTGAGAGTGAGAGTGATGAGAGCACAGAGAACCCCTACGAAGACCTTCCCCAAGAGTTCATCGCAGAGATTAACAAAATGACGGACATTGCAACTCAAGGAGACAATGTTCATGCTCGGCTTGAAGTATGACTTTGTTAAAGAGAAAATCAACAACATGGGTGGTGGCAAGAAGACCCAGAAACCTGAGAGTATCACCCTCAAGATTATCATCAGCAACAAGGAGTTCATCGTGGTGCTCTCACCATCGGATACATTCAAAGATTTGCGAATGAAGCTATGGACAACTCATGAGAAGGAGTTGCGAAAGATGGGCTTCATCAAGACCACCATCGTGCAAGACCCCGTGCTCGACTTCACAGTTGAGGGCAAGGGCTCGCTCTACAAACATGCCAGACAGGGAATGTTCAAATGGGGCTTTGAGGACAACGCGGTCATCACAACTCGCGAGATGGATGAGAATGAACGCAAGGCTCGCAAGGCTGTGAAGAACAAGAGCCATGCCAAGTCAAAAGCGATGCCGAAGAAGGACAGCGATGACAAGAAGGACAAGAAAGACAAGAAGGGCACCACCGACGACAATAAGGGCACCGCCGACAAGCAGAAGGGCACCACCGACGACAAGAAGGGCACCACCGACGACAAGAAGGGCACCACTGACGACAAGAAGGGCACCACCGACGACAAGAAGAAGAGCACCGACGACAAGAAGAAGGGCACCGACAAGAGCTCTTCATCCAGCGTGCCCAAGTGAGCGGAAAGAATCTTGAAGGAAACCCACTAAGTCCCTAAAATAAACTTTCTAACTAACCCTTAAACCTCCAAGGCTCCACACGTAGAAGGGTCTAAGACGTAAGGGTTTCCAACTTTTGCTTGAGCGATGTTCTCTACAGACGAGCATTGTCGCCGGTTGGGTTGTCACTCCAAACACCAGAACCGCAAGGTTGAAAAAAAGGTGCTTATCAATGAATTGCACTGCTTGTTTGCATTTATTTTTGCTGTTGCTTACTCTGAAGCACTTAAACCCATCGCTTGAAGCATGGTTGTGATTGGTTGCGCTTGGTTGCGCTTGGTTGCGCTTGGTTGTGCTTGAGCGTGGTCGTGCTTGAAGCATGGTCGTGCTTGGTTGTGCTTGAAGCATGGTCGTGCTTGGTTGTGCTTGAAGCATGGTTGTCATTGGTTGCGCTTGGTTTCAGATGTACATGTGAAGCATTGAAACCTCCACAGCATTTGTTGCTTATCAGTTTTGTTAGTTCTTGCGCTCACCCTTCCTGTCTTCGCCATGGCGTTCGGCAAGGTGAAGAAAAGCATTCTCAAGTGCAAAAAAGATGTCGCCGATATGAGTGAAGCATCCTTCATCAAGGGCATCCGCTTTGCAAAGACGGCAACCGAAGCAAAAGAGTTATCGTTTTCTTCACTCCTTGATGAGGCGTCAGTTGAGAAACTCCGCGAAATCAAGGAGTACATGAAGACCAACAAGGCAAACACCTCCAAGAAGTTGGAAAAAATCGTGGAGTGGCACGATAACATGAAGCTGATGGTTCAGGTCCGGGATTATGTAAACGAAGCGGTGGCTCATGCAAAGAACAAGATGCACGACGCAATCATCAAGGAAGCGTCCAATGGAGATGAGGAGACTTTGACGTAGCGGAAACTAAAAACGAAGTCGCGAATGCTCGCGAGGCTCTGACGCGCGTCGTTCAACATTCTGAGCCTATTGAAGTTAAAACAAAAGCAAAGCCCGTTAGAATGGAAGAACAACCAAAGCAACTAACAGCAAGAGAATTATTAGAAGCATCATATAATGAAATACGAAGAGCAAAAAGAGAGGAACACATACAAAAGATTAACAGCTTTAAATCAAAAATGTTTTAATTATTAATAATGTTTAGAATCTAATATTATTAATAATGAGTATGTTTAAAAGTAAACCTGAATTTAAAAGAATGCCACAGGTTCAACAATATTACGATGTAAGTGATATATTCGGCGTTGCGTCACATAAAAAATATTTAGAAGATTTAAAGTTAAGAGTAGAAGAAGCCGAGAACAGAGGTAAAAACATTGCTTTAAGAAACGATTGGGTTAAGCATCAGAAGAAGGCATTATATCAAGGTGAATTAGATGACATCAACAGGCAGTTAGAGCGTCCGATGATGCCAGTGAGAACAAAAGAGGAACTAGAGAAGCGCCAAAATGAACTTAAAACAATAATGAAGGAAATAATCTAAATCTAACTTTAGATATAATATGATTAAAACATTAAAGTCTGAATTAAAATTACGACCTACTTATGATGACATGATAGGTGACCCTAACAGACCACCTATAGATAAAGTAATCGATAGAAGAGCTACATAATTTAGAAATAATCAGTTCGGCAGTCAGTTTGATAATGTTGATTTTCTAGGCTTGAAGAAACAAGAAGAAGATAAAGTGAAAAATGAAATGCGCAAATTGCAATTAACACAACATGCAATGGGCACGGGGTCTTCAATGGGTATTGTCACATATCAGGGGACGAGTGGATACAATACACCAATAGAAGAAGTTCATGAAGAATACAGCCATGATGAAGACCACATTAGAGATATAGATGTTGCGTTAGGAATTAGCAGAACAAAGAAGGCATATAGAAGATTCTAAAAGCGGTTTAGATGATGTTCATCATCAATCATTACCAGCAGGTGTTGAGGTTCATTCAATGGATGTTCCAGTGCAAAGTAATCAAGGTGAGGCGACAGCGTCATTACCAGCACCACCACAAACAGAGGATAGTGAAGAAGACGAAGAAATAACCGCATTAGAACAAAAAGTAGCATACACACACAGTTTTAACCCTGACGAAGTCCTCAATGATGAGAGCGTCACTTATAGAGGTTTAATGTTTCAGTTATTTGTTAGAGATTTATTAACAGATGAAATGGTAGATTTATTAAATAAAATACCAACGGACCAGAAAAGAAACAATACCTAGTATCAATCATAGAGGGTCACAAAAATTTGGATGAATGGAACGCCGAATTTGACAGCGCTAAATTAAGTCGTTAAAAAAAAGTGTTCATGAGAGAACGAAGGCGTGTACAAGCAAAAACTGTTGAACCCTCAGCTAGTTCTACATTAGTCCCTTCACAACCATCATCACCAACACCGTTAAGAGACATCGCAGTAGCGGGAGCAAAGGCAGGTGTAGAGACATTAGCAAAAGCAGGAGCAACAGCATTAGCAAAACAGTTTTTACCGGTGTAAAATGTAAGTAATAATATTCAAAATATTATTAGTAGCTAATAATGTATTTCATAAATTATCATGTAACTAATAATATAAATGTTAAGATTGCGCCCCACTTATGAAGAAATTGCAAGAGAAGCAAGAACACGCAGATTAAGAATATTACCAGAAAGACAGAAACGAACACAGCAAAGGATGTTGTTAGATGAAGTTGATTTTGATGACTTTGATTTGAGTAATTATGATAGGAAAACAATTTTGTTAAATGATAACCCTGATAAAGGAACACAAACCGATAATTTTGATGTTACATCAAGCATAACAGAAAGTGAAAGCATGAAAACGCCAGAAGAAGAAGTAAAACAACTTCAAACAGATGAAAGCGAAGCAAGTGTAGAAAAGGAACATGAACGCGAACGCGAACGCGAACCACAAAGGGAAAGAGAAAGGGGTAAATCAGTAATGAGGAGAATGTGTGATGCTATGTTCGGAGAGGATGAGTTTAAAGAAGAAAGAGAGGAAATGAGAAGTAGAAGGCAACAAATAGAAGAAGAAGAAGATTTGCATGAAGCTTATGTAGAGAAAAAACAAAGTGAAGAGAGCGATAATAGTCTACCTATGAATGTTAAAAAGTCTTATGAGCCTTCATCATCAAGTTCTCGTAGAAGTTCAAATAGAAGTGTTTTATTACCTGTTGAAGAGGAAGCCTTAAGTGAATATGTTCATTCCTCGCCACCGGTATCAGTTCAAAGTTCTATTAATAGTGATAGGACAATTGAATATGTTGATGAAGCTACACCCCCACAAAGTGTTGTAAGCTCAAGGCGCTCACAGGAAACCATAGAATACATAAGAAGCAGAACCAGTTCAAGGCGCTCAAGTGTTCAGTCTGTACGCTCATAATGAGATATTCTTTTAAGGGCATTTATTTTTAAAAATGAAACCACTTAAAAGAATATTCATATTATTAAATAAATTATGACGAATTACTTAACAGGACCGAGGAAAATTATAGAAACAACAAGAAAAACAGGGAAGGCGGATACTTTAAAGAATAAGAAAAATCATAAGATTGTTATGTGTGATTGTTGCGGTTGTTTAGTAAATAACACCAACCTGTCTAAGCACAAGAAAACAAATAAATGTAAAATGCTTACACAAGCAAAGAAAGAAAAAGAGTTAGAAGATAAACTTTTAAAATTATCATTACATGATTAATATTAATATTATCTAATTAATATTAATTATGAGTGTTGATGAGAAGTTAAGTGAAATTTATTATGATCTGGAGCGTGGATATGGTTCAGTTCAGAATCTTCGCAAAGAAGCAAACAAAGACGGTGTCAATGTTAGTTTAAATTATGTTAAAGAACGGGTGAAGAAACAACCGAACAAGCAAAGAAGGAACTATAAGAATTATAATAGTTATTCTCCTCCTTATGCAAGAGCAGTATATTCAGTTGATATAATGGATATGATTTCGTTAATGAAAGACACAAATACTTATAGTGAAAGTTATAAATGATATGCTTTATTATGTATTGATAACTTTTGTAAAAAGATGAGCATCATACCAATGGAAAACAGAGATGGTGAAACAGTATATGATGCCTTTATTCAATGTTTCAAAGAATTAGGTTTCCCTAACAGTATCTATTCAGATGATGATGGTGCTTTCAATTATAAGAAATTACAAGATTATTGAAAAGGTGACGGAATAGAACACGTAGTAACATTAACACATGCTAATGTAACAGAGAGAGCCATCAGAACAATAAAGAAAATGATAACTGATAGAGCAATAAATGCGAAAGGTGCTTGGACAATATTATTGAAGCCTGCACTGGATAAATACAATAAAACAATGGTTCATTCAACGACAGGTTTAGTATCGAACGAGGCTCATAAAGATGATAACGCTGTTGAAGTTAAGGCAAACTCCGTTCTGAAAGAAAAATATCTGAGAAGATACCCCAAGATAGAGGAAGGTGATAAGGTAAAAATATTTTCGAAAGGTAAAGGTGATTATACATCAAGAAAAGAAAGCAGAAACCAATGGAGTGACGAAACTTATGAAGTCAAAGAAGTAGGCAGAGATATGAACCTAAATAAATATTATATTGTAGAAGGAAAGAGCAAACGATACAACAGACATGAATTGTTAATGGTAGATTAATCAGCCTTAGAAAAACTACTTAAAGGGAAAATGACTTAATATATTAGAGCATGGAAACATTCAATTTTAATTTTGAGTGTAACTATTGTATCAGTTACAGAGGTAGAAGAAAGGACATATTAAATGAATTATTTAATAAAAATATTGCTAATAACATCTCGTCATATGTATCTTGTGCATTTTGTAATGATATGCATGAGTATGAAAAAGAATATGCAACTAAAACGTTAAAAACAATAGAACACAAACAAATACATTGTATATTAACTCACTTTGATAATGGGTACAAGAAGCTAACAAATTTAAAATATAAGAAGAACTATTTGAAAGACATTGTAGAGCAAACA